GCTTCATATATTAGAATATGGTGACAAGCTCAAAATACCTGGATATGATGCCCACTGTCCTTCTATTAGTTCGGATACTTATGTTTGTCTTTGCTGTTCTGACTGTGGTGCATACTTTTTGAAATTTTCCCTCATTATCCTACATAGGAAAAATCAATATCCAAGATAAAGAGGATGACCAGCTAAGCAAAAAAAGCTATCTATCAATTCCATTGATGATTTTTCAGTTGTATCTACATCAACTAGGCAAGTGCTAACCTTATATAACTGGGAAGTACAATCGGAGGGTGAGTAAAGCCTGGAAGTTCTTACTGCTGAACATGTTCTAAGTAGAAAATAAAAATTATTTTTGAATTACGTATGTTCACATTGGTTTATACAAAAACAATTTAAAAGTGTATGCTTATGCCGTAACTCTAATTGGATTATCATTGGTCCTCTATTTCATGTGACCACAAACGCATATTGATCTGTATATTATCACATGAGAGATGAGATATTTGAAAACTCCCCTCCCCCCTTGATAATTACGTAATATATGGCACTTCCCTTACCTAATTATTCATTAAGTATTGCTTCAAAATCATATTATAATCTCCATAATTTTTGTAAATTTTAATTGAGCTTTACTAAACTGGTTATGATTTTTTGATAGAAATTTTTTTAAGTAAAAATTTTTGATTTTTTATAATGTAACAGGATATGCTAAGTGATATTGAAAGATAAGTATTATATACTGTATATTACTGGTACTTCAAATCAACAATATAAATAATTTTAATATAAAGTTTGATTTTTTAAATTAAAAAATAAATCTTCAAAAAAAGAATATATTTATGTATTAATATTTGTATTTTGACAAAAAATGAAAATAAAAAAAATTCCAAGAAAAATTTATAAAAAAGTAACTGATATAATATAGTTTGTCATTGAATATTTTTTTTAAAGATAACATTGTAAAAATAAGTTTGTAACAAAAGTAAAATGATCAAATAATTTTACATACCTATATATATTATTTGGAATATGTTATTTATATATTTAAAATTTTATGTGAATTTTTTATGCTGCAAAATCAGCCAAGAACCTTAAAATCCAAATTTGTCTAACAGAATGTCCATATCATCTTGACAATGTGAAAAACTTGATCAGACTTCTATTTACCAACATGCAGTCACAACTTAGAAAAACAGCAATTAGTACAACTAATGCCTTTAACATAAAGTTTATTAACCAACTGCTAAAGTACAATAACACCACCAAACTTTCTTGGTCACAGCTTACTATACACACAGGAATAATTCGCTTGGGTTCAGAACCCAATTGGTTCAAAACATTTGTAAACACTAAGAACTTGTCTGGAACCCATGGTCCAATACCAAATCCTAAAACAACATTCTGGTTCCTACATAACATTAATGCAGTTGTTAAGACTCGCAAAAGATACTATATACCCTTATAGATGAAAGAACACTACTCAAAGGAAAGCATTTCATTATAGATCTTGACAATAATCTCACTAGATGTT